TCCAAAGGCTTCAATAACACCAGCCTTCGGAAAACCCTTAAGAGGCATTTGATTATGTCCATGCAAACAAAATGACAAATAAGGTTCCAATACATCGAGCCTTCGAAAAACCCAACGGGTACAAAAACACATGCTAAGGCATAACTAAAATTTCACTAAGTCTTTTAGCCGAAATGAGGGAAAAATTATACAGCCATTTTTAGAGGCCGAAACGGCCCAATTTAAAGAGCCTAAGGGTCGATATACAAGAACCTAAGGGCCAGCTTAAAAGAAATATAGGGCCGAAGACCTATAGGAGTCTGAGACCCCGTTCTCGTTTAACTCGAACCCAAAGGCCCCGTTACCCCGAGCTTGCATTAATATGATTTTAAGTTTGGCTCGGGGATCATCTAAAACCCTAAGGGGTATGATCTTGGGCAATAGAAGCCTAAGGGCTTATTACGAGTCTCAACCGATACTCGAACTTAGTATTCGAATCATCGGAATTTTTCATAAACGGGGACAAAATAGAAATCAACACAAACCAAGAACAGAACAAAAAGCTACTTTATATTCATCTGGGAAATTTACAAAGCATATTACAACGCCCACAAGGGGCCCTTGTACAAAAAAGAAACCTAATATATTTTCAGGGCCACGTCCCCGGGAGTACCGTCTTCATTTCCAATAGCTTTATCTTCGGGAGTCTCTTCCCCTTCGGCAGCATCTTCTTCACTTTCCTCGTCCCCAGAGCCACTCATCACGTCCTCGTTATTGGATGAAACAAGAAACCTAGCATCGATTTCTCATGCCTGTGCTTCAGCTATCTCTTCGGCAAGGTCGAACCCCCGAGCATGGATTTCCTCGAGAGTCTCCCTCCGGGCTTGACACTTAGCCAATTCATTGCTTCGTCTTGCCTGGTCGGAGGCCTCCCTCAACTCAGCTTGAACGACAGCAGCTTCTCTCACGTATATAGATATGGATTTATCAGCCGTAACCTTCGTCTTATCAGCTTCGGCCTTAGCTTGCGCAACTTCAGCCTTAGCCCGTGCAGCTTCGGTCCGTGCTTTAGCCAGTTCGGCCTCCAGCCCCTCAATTTCCCTGGCTTGAGCCAAGCCATTCGCTTCAGCACCTAGAGAGCTGAGCTTTAGCCGAGGCTAGTTGAGCCTTAATAGATTCCTTTTCGGCAACAAGTCGATCCATGTTCTCCTTCCACTGTGGCAATCAGCCCGAACTCGATCAACCTCACCCCGGAGTTGCCCAATCATGTTCATCTTTTGCTGCAGCTGAGATAACGAAGTATTATCCTCCGAATAAAGGCCAGAATGCCGAACTTTGTTAAAATCGAAGTTACCTGCTCGTCCAGCTCGGACTCGCTTTTTTGAGCTTTAGCCAGAGCGATTCGGAGGTCCTTAAGCTCCTCTTCCCTCTGGCTGCAGAGGAGCCTCAAGGCCTTCTCTTCACCCGACACTCTCTTGAGCTCGACCTCACATTGGCTCAGCTCAGCCGTAAACTTCATAACGACCTATACATAAAATAAAGACACATCAGTCGAAAGAGGAAGAAAGAAAAAATTTCAATGTTAAAAGTAAGTACGTACCCGAATAAGGAGATGCTGAGCCTCTTCAAAAATGGAGGATGCATCGTTGAGGTCGTCGGCATCCTCGATCCCAGCATAGCAAGCCTGAAAGGGATCGTCCTCAATGACCTTATTTGGGTCGGGCATATTCAAAGTGATGGCTTCCTCGATTGGCCCCCAGAATAAGTTGGCAGTGAAAGGGAATGACCTGTTGTCGCGGCCTCGAGCTCTTCACTCGGGACGTTCTCATTAGCATTGGGGGACTCAACGTTTACCCCCTCCAGTATAGCAGCTGAAGACGGAGGGACAATCTTAACCTCCGGGGACATAGGAGCCTTGCTCGTTTCTTCTCTCCGGGCATCCTCACCACAAGGAGGATTTTCTAGTTCGGAAGTTCGGCGGCCTCGACTGGCTTCCTGGTCCGAGTCACCAGCGTCGATTCTTCATCATCATTTTCCTCACCATCCGGGAGTCATGGGCTGAGTCTGTGCCCGTTTGAGCAAACCTTTTCCGCAGCCTCCGAGTGAAGGTTTTCTTGTCTTGAGGGTCTTCGGGTTTCGAGACCCTTTTTCTTTTGTGTCCTTCTCGAGCTTTGGATTTGAAGACATGGCTTTTTCCCCAGGCGAGGATGGCCTCATGTCGGACGCATCTCCAAGGCCATGGTTCTTGGCCTCCCATTGGCCCTTCGCCAATTCACGCCACTTACGCTTGTCATAGAAGGAAGTGGCAGCTAATTTCCTGACCCAATCCTCGAGGTCGGGCACCGCTAGGGGCACCCAAGCATCGGCTGCCAAAAGAAAGATGAGAAAGTTATGGAAAATGAATGGACATGAACAGATACAATAAATACTCCACTTACGATTAAAGTTCCACCTCTCCAGGAACGACATTTTTTCCTCGGGGATGATGTCCGAAGTCTTGACTCTAACAAATCGGCTCATCCAACCCCGATCTTTGGTTTCATTGGTACTGTCGAAGAAGGACTTTGTGGTTCGATGCTACAGCTTGATGAGCCCATTGAATAACTGGGGTCGATACAACCGAACTAGGTGGCTGAGGGTCAACTCCAAACCCTCGGCCTTCTCGGAGAAGTACCGCAGCATGATCACGATACGCTAGAACGAAGACTGGATTTGACCAAGGGTGACTTCGTATGTCTTGCAGAAGTCGATCACTACCGGATCGAGGGGGGCCCAGTGTGAAGGGGTAAGTGTAAACACTCAAAAACCCCTCCTTGTGGGTAGTTATGCTTTCATCAGGCCTTGGGATCTGAACCTCAACCTCGTCTCCCCATCGACAATCCTCCTTTACTTCCTTGATGAGCTGCTTAGTTATCAGTCTAATATATCGTGATACGTGCTCGCATCGGCCCTCGACATCTGGAGGATTCTCGATACCGAAGTCCTTCTTGATGATGCAATCACCAGGGGTGATTTCTTCAAGTGTCGGCGACACCACCGATTTAGCCGGCCGGGAGGCGGAGGAAGATGATGCTTTATCTTTTTTAGGGACCGTCTTGGAAGTTTTGGCCATGGTTGTAAGCTAAGGAATGCGGGTGCACAGGGATGTAGTGTTTCCGGCAAGAGCTTGGTGTTTTCCGGCATTTAAAGAGGCGGAGGAAGCAAGTGATTGAAGAAAGAGATGAGGATTGGAAAAGATTGAAGAAAGGTAAAGTTCTTTACTAAGGGAAAACGCCTCATATTTATAAAGGGGCAGCGACGGTTCGGTGGCGTTAATGGCCGATCAACACTGGCGTACATTCAATGTTTTTGGGGAAGTGGGTCGATGGGATGTTTCGGTCACTTCGAACGTTGGCATCACGAGGATGACATCATCACTAGAGGTTCAGAAAATCGAGGTCCAGATCGTTTCATATCATTCCATTCTAAGAAACGCGGGGACTATCTATATACGGTCAAAATCGAGGAGCATGATTTTGAAGTCTTAAATCGAGCTATGGGTCCGAGTCCGAGAGACTCGAAGTAAAGGTCAGATTCGGCTAAGTGACACATACCTTGAAGAGGCTGATCGAAGGCCTGACATGACCTACATCGAGGACAGCACAATCTCGAAGTCAATCAAGAAAGAGCGAGAATTTCTCAAGGACACGTGGACCAGGACATAAATTAAAGGAGAAGATTTGTACGAAATGGTACAGGTCCATACTAGGTCGTTATACACCTGTACCAATAGAATTCTTTACCATAATGAGGAATGTACTATATTGGAGTTTTCTCCTCCTATATAAAGGGGACCCCACTCGTTTTGTAAGGGCATCTCACATTATTCACTGCAATAGAACATTATATTCTACTCTTGTTTAACGTGCTCAATAATTATTCTTCAGCTTTATTGCCTTTACTTTATTGTTCATACTTTATTGGTCTTAGCTAACCTCGAGGTCCATGGGTAGCCAAACTCGAGGCCCCTACTACTTGAACAACATTGATTTGGTTCATTATTTCTTCTTACTTAAGCTTAATATTACTTGTATAATCACTGGTATTAAAATATATCACGTATCTTTAAAACCACAAATCATCTTTAATTGCTACTCACATTTTTCGAAGTAAACAACTTATATAGATATAGATATCGATTTCCCCAGTAAGTCAGCTGAGACAAATGAAAAGTCATATTGCCATGTACTAGTTGATCCCAATTAAATATCGCAACTTCATTTTCTAATTCGTACGTTCCATGTAGTCATAATTTATCATTTAATAGGATCCCAATTAAATAGCGTAACTTCATTTTCCAATTCATAAGTTCCATATGTAGTCATAATTTATCATTTAATAGGATTTCAATTAAATAATCGGCTTCATTTGTGTGTATTAATCCAGCGAAACTGTCATAACATTAATGGCAAGTAATTTTACTTTTAGCAGAGGGTATTTTGCTTTTAGTTAGAGGGTAGTTTGGTCGTCTGCTTATTGAAGGATAATTTAGTAAATTACTTTTAGGTGGAGGGTAGTTTGGTCATTTAGTTTTTGAAGGTTATTTTTGTAAAATAACTTTCACTAAATGTCTTTATACTTATAATATAGTAAGTATAAGTATGTGATATGTGATATTATAATTTAGATAATATGATTTTTGTATTTTGACTGATTATGGAATTCATTTAGTACTTGTGAATCTGTCTGCACATGTGAGTTCATAACATTTCTAGCAACCTTTCTTGAGGATTAGTGCGTTGTTGGAGAAGTTATCTTGAGATAATGCATCCATTCTTGGGATTGCTTATTGTTGCCCTGAAATTATAGTTTCCTATGATGGACGAGCAGTGGTAAGGAGCAACAAATTGAAAAGCCTTGTTAATTAATTTGCAGTACCAAAAACTGAATATCTGGAAATTAGAGTATGCATTATATTTTGCACAATTTCAAACCATTGGATTAATAGTCTTTAATTGGATGAAGAGACAAGTTATCGAATAAATAAATAACTTATCGTAATAAGTATCAAGAACTTAAATTAGGTTTAAACAGAGAAAAAGGAAAAAAGTAATGAAACAAAAATCCATGCCTTACGCAACTGGAAAGAGAGCTTGCTTTTTGTTAGCTATTTGTACAGTAATATTGCAGTTAATTAATAACTAATTGTGTTGTGTTGCCTTTCTCTAAAACAAAGCTTGTCTGCAATCAACTCATTTTTCTTGCCAAAATATGATAGGACCAAAATGCTTCTTCTGCCTGTTGAACTTTCAAACTATATTGGCATTCATTCACATAGATCACCTATAAGAATAAAAAGGTATGAACCAAAAGTATCTGCTTGCAAACAGAAAACACATGAGTACATTGTATTTTCTTGCAAACAAAGCATAAAAACATATATCTATATATCCTCCTGCAATTTCACATCCACTTATCAATGTATTTTCTTGTAGATATTGTTCAATAAAGTCTTATTATATGAAAAAGAAAATATAACCACATGCTTTTAACCCGAAAAGCAACAGAGTATAAGCATTAGTCACGTACACGAGTTTCCTGCATACTAGCTAAATCACAAAAAAAAAATAAAAGAATAAATCCAAACAGACAGCTCACAGGTAACTGTGACTAAAAATAAAGCATTCATTTGAAGAAATTTTAACTAAAGAGGATTTTACGTTCTCACCAAGCTTAGAAACACTTCTTGTGGAGAATTGACGGACCAAATTCATCATACTCGCCCTTCGTTATCAACCACTGCATGGGACGTAGATGTTAGCTGCTAAATCCCTTGAGCTTAAAAGGGATAACCAGAAGACTTTCACTGTTAGAACCAATTATTTGGGACTGCAATGTAGTTGTTGATCAGTAAAATAAAGCAAAGAGAAACAAACATTTTTGAAAGAACTGATAGAAGCTAGAACTGATCCTCCTATCCAAGCGCTGTACATCCTCTCAGGTGGTGCAATCACATTTGTCTTCATGCTGCTTGGAGCAAGAGCAGTTATTTCCTTGCTCATACGTTCTGCTATACCAGGAAACATAGTTGAACCACCACTAAGCACAATGTTTGAAAATAAATCTTTCCTAATATCAATATCGAATCTCATGATTGAATTGTAGATTTTTTCATGAATGCCTTTCGCTTCCATTCCAACCAATGATGGTTGGAAGAGGACTTCAGGGCAACAGAATCTCGCTGCACCAATATTAATGACTTGTCTATCAGGAAGCTCATAGCCCTTCTCAACTGATTTTGAGCAATTTTTTGCCTTTTCAATCTCCTGTTCAAAATCCACTGCAACATAAGCAATCGTCTTCTTCATATGAGAAATATCAGTGAAACCACTCTCCGAGAGAATCGATAATATTCTAATCGATATGCATAATTAGATGAAAAAACTTGATTCTTTTTTGCCTATATTACTTAGAGAATAATGTTTATAATGTCTGACGTATTTGCATATGTGGGAAGAAGTTTTCCAAAATTATAGTTGATAAAATCTATCTAAGATCTACAATGTCACAAGAGAGATTTAATGGATTAGCTATATTATCAATTGAAAAGGAATTATTAAAAGAAATTTATTATAAAAAAATATTATAACTTTGAATCTCAAAAAGTTAGGATATAATACTTTATATATAGTAATTTTTTCAGAGAAAACAATTAAGGCCTCTCAGCAAGATTTGGTTGTAGCAAACCAACTACGTTGAGCCGCCCCTGGATTGGTGAAACTAAACTCTAAACAATTTTAGTTGGCAAAACCAACTGTGAGGACACGAGAATAAGAATTTGGACGGGAGACTAGATTGATCTCCACACATATTGGGTGGAGACTCAACTCCAGTGATCGGTATATATACAAGGCAGCAGAAAGTATTGGACTTCTGTTTAACTGCATCTGCTGTTAAGAGGAACTGACAAATATTTCCTATAAATTGACAGGGGGTGGTGGATCTTGGTAGTACTACAACTGGTCTCTTTTAACGTCGATAAGACATTGAAGCTTTTCCAGAATATGCCTCAATCGAGGAAGTACTTATGAACTTATTTGATGACAGCCTATTATAGAGTGGATGCAACTATTTATGTGTATAGTATACCACTAGCCACAAAGTTCGAATAAGAAGGATGGGTCAGTTCGGTTAGTTTTTGGTTTATTCAGTTAGATCTTTCATTGACAAATAGCCAAATAAGTTCGGTTTTAGTTTAGTTTTTTTCAAACTTTTAATTTAAATTATATTCTAGAATAAAATTGAAAAAAATAATGTTTCATAAAAGAGCGCCTCCAATTAGAAAATTTACTTAAAGAGTAGCTTAGAAGGGACAAAGATCCTCATTCTGATTGCAGGTACCTAATGAACAATATAAAAGTAACAAGAATATGAACTAGGTTAAAACTTAAAACAGACAAAAAGGAAAAACTTGTGAAACAAAAATCCATGTGTAACACTCAACGGTCACTTAATTTCTTGCCAAAGTGTGACAAAAATGCTTCTTCAGTCTGTTGGATTTTCAAACTATATTGGCATTCATATTCATATCACCTACAACAATAGAAAGGTAAGAACAAAAATCACTGCTTGCAAACTGGTAACACAGAAACAAGCATAACATCATCAAAACTAACTTATAAAGCATAAAATATGTAGATCTACTTTATCGATATATTTTCTCAGGTAAATAATATTAAATAAAGGAAAGCTAATCCAGATTCCACACTTCTAAAAAGCTTGCTTATAGTGGACGAATCCACCCGTTTCCGGCATACTAGCTAACTTACAAAGGCACCAATAAAGCAAAAACAAGCAAGAATAGCACGGTAAAACAGATTGCTCAGAGAATTCAGTATCGCTTCAAAAGAAACAGGCCACTGTGACTTGAAATGAAGCATTCATTTGAATGAATAAAACTAAAGATGATTTTTTAAGTTCTCACCAAGCTTAGAAACACTTCATGTGGATAATAGAGGGACCAATTTCATCATACTCGCCCTTTGTTATACACACCTGATAGATATAAGTGCTGTATCACTTGAGCTTTAAAGAGTTAACAATATATTTATTGATTGATCAGCGAGATAAAGCAAAAAGAAACTAACTTTTTCGAAAGTACTCAGGGAAGCTAGAATTGATCCTCCTATCCAAGCGATGTACTTCCTCTCAGGTGGTGCAACCACCTCGATCTTCATCCTGCTTGGAGCAAGACCAGTGATTTCTTTGTTAATACGTTCTGCTATGCCAGGAAACATAGTCGAGCCACCACTAAGCACAATGTTTGAAAATAAATATTTCCTAATATCAATATTGCATCTCATGATTGAATTGTAGATTTTTTCATGAATGCCTGTCGCTTCCATTTAAGGCTGTTTGGTGGGCCGGTCTGGGACCGGGACCGGACCGGGCCCGCGGTCCTAACGGGCTAAACGGTCCCGGCGGGCCGGTCCTGGTGGGCCGGTCCCTGAATGGGTAGGAAGCCCGTGACGGGCCGGTCTTGTACACGAGGCCCACGAGACCGGGACCGCTAAGTCCGGGACCGGCAGGCGGTCCTGGGCCGGTTCAACCGGGCCTAACGGGCTCCAACGGCTATTTTTTTTAAAAAAAAAATTTTTTTTTTTAAAAAATAGCCAACGGTCAGATTTTAAAATCTAGCCGTTGGCCTTTAATTTTCAACCGTTTGGAACTTTAAAAAATAGCCATTTGGCCCCCAAACTTTATATAATTACACTTTTCCCCAATTCTCAACTATAAATACCCCCTCATTCTTTCATTTTTACTCACCAATTCATCAATCTATCTCAATCTCTCTCAATCTCTTTCAATCTATATCTAATTTCTCTTCTATAATTGCTTATTTTATTATTGCAATTTCGTGAAAAATTGTGAAGTTGGTGAATTGAAGTATTCAAGTCTTCAAGTCTTCAACGATTTTCAATTTTCAAGAAGTTGTTCGGCAATTCGGTAAACTCGTTCCAACTCTTAACTTTTAAGAATATATTTTTGTTTGTTTAGTTTGCATAATTATAATTAATATGGCATTTTCTTTGAAAAAAATGTTTGGTGGTAAGGGAAAAGCTAAAATTGGTGAAAGTAGTCTCCAACCTACTACCCTTCCCCCGGCTCCCCGACCCAGACCTATTACCCGTCCTGCTGCTCCTATTATTCTTGATAGTGATAACCCTTGTTTTCAATTTTCCGATAGTGAATTTTGCCATAATGTTGCACAAGGTGAACAATTAAATGAAGAAGTTATGAATGCTCTTTATCCTAATCAAACTATCTTAGAAAATGATGAGGAAAATGAGGATGTAGATGAAACCCAACCGGATTTAGATGATTCACCTACTAGTCCTGTTAATAACCCAACTGATGCCCCGCCCGACCCACCTGTAGAAACCCCTACTTTTAATAGACAACCTTCTAAACGCCTAGAAACATCATTAGTTTGGAATTTTTTTACTCAAGTAAGAGAACAAAATAAGGCTAGGTGTAAAACTTGTGGGAAATTGCTGGCGCATAAATATACTGGAGACCGTAGCGGTACGGGTAGTTTGGCTAGGCACATACAAACACACCCTAGAGATAAAGTTAAATATTTACAAATGAAAGCGCAGCAAGAGGGGACAAGTGTAGATACTGCGGTTAACCCTAGTACAGGTTCAAATCTAGTTCAACCAGGAATTAACACTGTGACCGGTGGTATTTTATATTACGATCCTAATAAAGATCGTGAAGAATTAGCAAAGA